AGTCCAATTTTTTTTATCTCCGGAGGAGTTAAAAAAAAAAACAATTAAAATAAGAAAAGAGGAAGAAGAATGCGAGAATATCAGTTTCCCTTCTTCTACCGAAAAGTAAAAGAGTTAGTTGGAATTGAAAATATACTTAAACCGGTTAAAATATCATGGTATAGCCAGTTTTCACAATGGTCAATGAAAAATAGTCAGCGTTTATCAAGTCAATGAAAAATAGCCACTATTTTGCTGCAACAGGGACCGGTCCAGTATAATATACGGGAGTTCTGGTGCATTTGTGTACGAACTCCAGCATATTATGCTGGACCGGTATACTTTGCTAACTCCTGTAAAATTTGCGGGAGACTGGAGCATCAGTGCTCCAAACTCCAGTATATTATACTGACAATTATACTTGCTGGAACTCCCGTAAAATTTGCGGGAGTTCCAGCATAGTTATCCTGGAACTCCCGTAAAATTTACGGGAGTTCAAGCATACTTATGCTGGAACTTCCATAAAATTTGCGGGCGTATTTTTCCGGATTTTGAACAGTATTTTTGCTCAGATTTAAAGTGGCTAAATTTCGATGATTTTTGAAATTTGGCTATTTTTCAACGACCAGTAGTAAATCTGGCTATTTTTGAATTTCTCCCCTTAAACTGCTGCCAACCAAACAAACCAAACAAGGAAATGGAGAGCTAAGCGTAGGACAAATTCAAGCCCAAAACAGTAAAGGAGTCTGATTCTTTTCATACCTTGGTAGTTAGCTGGAGATGAAACAAGGAAATAGAGGGCTTGTGAAGGACAAATTTAACCCCTGGACCAAAAATGTTCTCATTCTCCTTTCAATATTCGTAGTTTCTTACATGCTTGTGTGTGTATGCGTCATTTTTTTTTTTTGGTTGAAAAAATAACACTGTATAGCTGTTCTCAAAATAATAACAAAAAAAAATATATTTTTTTTTATATATACATATGTTATATACAAAAATTATACAATTTTTCGGCTAACAAATGTGAATAATTTCTGGCGGGGACTAAAGGCGATAATATCCTTTTTCGTATAAAAACTTTTTTTTTTGTTGGTAATTAAAGAATTTTATTACCAAGTATCAAATATGTACAAGTTCAAAACTAGAAAAACTGGAGAACCACTGAGCTATTGCTTGCAAGTTGGACATGAAACCCAACTGCAGTGATCATCTTATCTTCCTCACTATATCTATATATCTTACGTCTATGGATAACTATTAAGCTCTCTCAATCTACATTTTATCTTAGTTTTCCTGTTGCCTCTTTGAAAGATGTCCTGAACTAATGATCTAAGTATCCCCTCTACATGCTGAGACTAAGCCTTGAATATTCTTGAGTTCCTCTCTGTCCATATGTAGTAGATGCAGCCTGCTAATGTCATTCTATGTACTTCTGCTTTCGGTGTTTTCCCCTTCATTTCCTTTGTTGCCCATTCCACTTCTTCATTCCATGTCATTACTGATCTTTGAATTCCCTGCCATTTCAATAATCTTTCCCAAAGCTCTCTAGTCACCTTGCATTCAAAAAATAGATGTTACATGGTTTCATTTTCTTCCTTACAGAGCTCACATGTTTGATCAATCATCGATCCCCAGCCTGCTACCTTGTCTTTGATATGTAGCCTTGATTGTAGTGCTAGGTTCAGTATAAAACCCCCCTACGTACAATATAGTGGTTACAAATTAGTTCCTCCATGGCATTTTAGGATTGTCTTCTCTCAACTGATGGTACATCACTTTTATGGAGTATGAATTCATTTTCAGCAGGTCAGCGATGCAAAACACTGCCTTTGACAGATATGTTTTAGCTTTTAGTATCTTGTTTAGAACCCATGAGGCTTGGTTGATTTGAACGTCCCAAATATTTCTTCCTTTCCCATAGTATATATGGACCCACATTACCCACATCTTATCTTTCTTTGTGCATAGGTTCCACAGTAGTTTAATCATAGCAGCCTTGTTCAAGGTCTCCAGATGCAGTACATTAAATCCTCCTGTTGTCCTTGGCCAACATACTTTCTCCCGTGCTAGTACTGTTCTTCTCAATATATCAGTTGTGCCTGTCCATAGAAAACTTTTGCATGTTGCTTCTATCACCTTAACAATTTTCTTTCGTAGCACAAAGATTTGTGACCAGAAGATTTGGATTGAGAAGATTACATTCTTTATCAACTGAAGTCGTCGAACATATTTGGGAACTTATTATAAACAACTTATTATTTATAATAACGATTTTAGCATGTTTGCTTTGATAGCATGTAAAAGAATCTAGACATTTAAGTTATAACAACTTTCAAGATCGCTACAAATCAGCTCGAAAATCTTTACATAATAGATATGGGATAATATATGTCAACAAAAGGGAGGGAGAATTCCAATAATTCAGAAACACAAGATAAACAATTTCAATTTGCATATATTAAATAAGGTTGCTGAGGGCTTAATTAGGTGTGCGTTACGACTTTCTGCTATTGACTTTGGGGCCAATTTATTCCCAACCGTGGCCCGACAAATCAGACTGAACAATTTATGCAAAAGTATTGGACTCGTTCTAGTATGAGATTTTTATCTCGTATAACAAAGGTTAACACCTCATTTATTTTAAATAAATATCATTTGAAAAAATTATATTCTATAGATACCTTTTAATGTTTATAACAAAATATCTAATTTGGTTACCTCCTACCCCTAAGCCACTAAATACGCTATTCAGTTACACTATTTTCTTTCTCTCTCTACTTTGATACATGCCATTCTCTTCCCCCATTCCCTGAAAACACGATGCTCAATCTCAAAATTCCTCTCACCCACATCACCTACCATTAGTCACAAACGATGATTTTGCCTGGTATACCACAAAGACTTCTCTGACTTTTCCCATTAATTTTGTGCAAAACCTTATCGTCTACTCTATCTAATCTCCCCCCCCCCCTCCCCCTCCCCCCTCCCCTCTCTCTGCACCAAAACCTCTCTTTGTTCTCTCCACAGAGAACTTCCCCTATCTCATACTATCCATTTTTACTTCATCCCAATTCAATTGAGAAGCGAGGAGTTGTTGACGGCATAGACTCGAAAATGATATGCTACGTCTTGCCATGATTTTTGCTCGGCTACTGTACAGGATGCGTGGGAACAATGAGATTCAGGGTTTTTGCTCGACGATAGTTTCGTCGAAAATTAGGATTTGTTCTTGAACAAAGACGATGGAGTTTGGGGCTGAGCAACTTGATTTTCTATTAATATATTTCAATATATTTTCAACGTATCACGTTGTATTTTCATGTATTTTGTTGTATTCATTGTCTTTTTTTCATTGTAATTCAATGTATCTCGCTGTATTTCATTGTATTCACTATCTTTTTTTTCATTGTATTTCAATGTATCCCGATGTATTCTATGTATTTCATTGTATTCACTGTCTCACTATATGCCATGAATGTATTCATATATTTTTTTTAATTAATAAAATTTATGTATTCAGATGTATTATATAATTTTTCTGAAGATTGCTATATTTTTGGGGTATTTTTCGGTTGAGAATCTTTTTTATAACTGGAAATACAACAATTGTGTGTTATAATTGAGTTTGTTGAGTTATATTAGGAGTCTATTATGTTAATTGATTCACTTTCCGTTTAAAAACAGTGTAATCCCCTATTTCACGCCGTGAATACAGTCGAATACAATAACCTGTCCAGCTGTAATCCCATGTTTCACGCCATGAATACAGTCAAATACACTCGAATACAACAACTGTTATTAAATACATCTAATAACAGCAGAAAATATATCTACAATCCGTAATATAGCAAATGGCATCTATAGATAGCTAATTACCACTAAAAGATAGTGTTTATGAAAATTTCTCAATATTTTACTAGTACTACTTCATCTTTTTCTTGAAAAGTTTATCAATTGGTTGTGCAACTTTTTATTTTCAAATCATTCACCATTCCAATTTATCGATTCATTTTCGAATTCGATCCACTAACGAAGTAAAAGTGTTCATTCCAACCAGAGCCTTTAATGATGCCCAACGACCCTTTTCAGTTTTCACCGGCTAATTAAAGCTAATAGAAAAAATTCGCATCCCTCCTTTCTTCTTTTCTTTTAACTCTTTAATGTGAAATATTTATCACTTTGTATTTCTTATTAACCAACTAAATTAAAAATTGATCACGTTTTCTCAAAAAATATATTTTAGAAATTCTGAAAAACAAGTGGAATTTTATTTTCAAGGGAATATTTTACTCCATCGTTTTTAAACTACTAAAGTGATCCACTTTCTGAGGTAGCATAATTAATCATTAATATTCTCCTAGGCCATATTAAACTAAATTACTCTAGAGAACAAGAAATGTAGAACTTTGGACTTATTCTTTTCAGCAAAATTGCTACCTACTTTATCTTTAACTATTCCTTTACTTTTTCTGTCTACCACTTCTTAAATTTATAAGCTAATAAGTGTAATCTAGGTTCGGCCAACTCTACAATTTGGTCCATGACTATACTTCTCAACTGCAGGATGTGGAAACAGAAACTTTTACGTAGTAGTCCCCAGGTATCAATTTAGAGGACACATTTCGATTATCGAAAATTAATTTGGCTAAACTTTAAAACTAAATTTAATTAGTTCAATTTCGTATTTTAAAATTGAAATTTAGATATACAAAAACTACACGAAAAGTATTATTATAAGTTACAGTTTTTCTTATGTCAATATGATAACAAAATATATTTTAAAATACTGGTCAAACTCGTGTAGTTTGATTCTCGATAAGCGAAATATGCCATCTAAATTAAAACGGAGGGAGTAATTAACACCAAGATGCTGAAGAAATGAAAAGCTGAATTCATCTCTATTAGTTAATTGCTCTATAACTTTGTTTGTCTGTAATCTTTCATACTTTCACTAATCACTCCTTTATTGGCTCTGCTCTTCCTATTAATATACCTTTACCAAAATTTAGGTTACATGTATGGAGTTTAAATTTTGTTCATTACAGAAAAGGAAAATCAAACAAAAATCTTAAACATTAACATAATCTATTACAATTGATTTAAAGGAGCAGAACTTTCAATCACTTTGTTAGTACTTCCCAACTAAAATTTACAAGACAATCATTTAGGAAACTTACAAGCAAATGGAAACAATGAAATGAAGACATTTTGCTGATATGTACTAGAGTACAACTTCAGTATGTTTTGTATTATTTGAGCAATGTTAGACGTGACTGGTTCTTTAATAATGTTCCTTCATTATTAAGTTTCTGCTCGCTGGTCCCCCACGAAGAGGACCGCCGTTTGGCCGGTTTTTAACGGCACAAAAAACCGGTTTTCTCCATCATAATTGTGTGAAGCTGCTTGCTTTTCCCAAGATGTCGGTCCTTTTCCATTGTCTTTTTCCTTAACGGCCAAGTCCTAAATATCAGTAATCTCCAACCCCACACGGCAATCCACAACCGCTTCTTAGCCTCCTACTCGGCGGCGCGTGAACACCACACACCATCCACGGTTTCACGTGAATCCTTTTCTACTAGTAGTAATATTTGTAAAAAAAGAAAACAGTGAAAATTGAACCGATACTAAAGGATGATACTAGCACTAGCAACAACAACAATAACAAACCCAGTAATTTCTCACAAGTAGGATCTGAAGAAGGTAAGATGTATGCAGCCTTAATTACACTATCCTGAAAGGGCGGTACGAGCACTAGCAATTTTCACATATCCTCATAGGCATTGAATCCCTGCTCGGATAATCTCCAAACCTTTACAGAGTTGTCCAAACTCCCACTATACACTGTCCAACATTGGTCACTATTGTTCTTCACCACAGCTTCATCTTCGCTATCATCGTTATTGTCATTGTCGTCGTCGTCATTTGAATAATCTTCAACGGTTAAGCACTTCACTGGGCCATTGTGCCCTGTCAATACTGTTAAACAACTATGGACACCACCACCTTCTTCTCTCCTCCATACGCATATACTCTTGTCAGCTGATCCACTCAATACCAGATTACCAGCAACGGCCACGCATAATACTGCTAATTTATGACCCCGCAACGCACCTCCGTACTCTAAGAAATGCTTTTGTCGCTCCCAGAAATTTACTAGTCCGTCGGATGAGCCAGCGTATACCTATTGAGACATAATATAATAAAATAATTAAAAATGTATTCTGTTTAACAACTTAAATTTTAAGATTAGTTTGATCACACAATTCAATATGATATAGTAGAAAGATGGTCAGCTTTTTAAAATTAGACCACCGGTCTGAAGTTTGAAAGTTGTTACGCGTCTGAAGTTTAAAATCCAACACTAAATTTTATACCACCACATATTGATAAATTACTACTCCATCCGTTTCAAAAGTATTCTCTTACTTTGAATAGGCACAAACTTTAATTAAAAAGAAAAAGTCTTTTAAGATATGTAGTCTTAAATAAGCCATAACATTTATGTGATGATCTAGACGTGACTTAGCATTTGTGTGGCTATAAATACTTCTTATTAAGAAAATATTGAAAGGTACCAATCTATTTATAACAGACTAATAAGGAAATAATGTCAATCTTTTTTAATTAGAGGGAGTACGTGTTTGGATAAGAAAAATACTATAATAATAATAATTAAAAGTGTGCTCTTACCGTGGCTGCCATGGTGTTTACGGCCAGTGAAGTCACAGCATTGTCTTGTTTCAGCAGTGTTTCAACAAGAACATGTTTTGCACTATTACCGACCAATTCTCTTCTCCAAGCTTTAACCGTTCCATCTGCTGAGCCAGTAAAAACCAATCCATCAAATCCAACGACCACAGAATTAATCGCATCGTAATGAGCAGTAATAGATTCCAAACATTTCGAATCCGATAATCTCCAAACTTTCAGTGTTTTATCCCAAGATCCAGAATAAAGCAACCCTCTTTCTTTATCCAAACTCATACAAGAAACAGCATCGAAATGCCTAATCCAAGGAACATTCCGATTTCTTCTGACTTCAACATATGCTTTGGGATTAATTGAACTCTTTATATAATCTTTAATGGTAGGTAAACTACCAACTCGTTTATAAGCTTTTCTTTTTTTACCCAAAAATTTCCAAACCCGAATTTTACCATCCTGATGGCCGGTAAATATTTTATCTCCGTAAACAACAATTGTTTTTACTAATCCGCTGTGAGACTTGAACCCAGAATATTCCTTCAAGTTTTTCCATACTCTAATATTTTTGCTATCTGAACCCGTGTATAACAAATCTCCAGATGCAGCTAATGAATATATGTGTCCTTCTTCTCGTACGAGCGATCCAATTAAACCATTTTTACAATCGCTGTTTTCTGATGATTCCTCTGAGGAATCAAGTAATGGCTGGTGAATCCATGGAGATTTAACATAAGGCGAAGCTGATTGATTCCAAGGAGACATAAAATAATTAGGGGAGTTTGTTGTAGTAGTAGTTGTGGTGTAAAACGACGACGTTCTAGGTGGACTTGGAGCAGAAGAAGCATTACTACTGCGACCTGAATTGGTATTGCTTTCTTCAGGGTCACTAACTGGTTCGGAATACAAAAGGGTTCCGAATTTTGTTCGTCTAAAGCTTTCTTTCTCTAGCAACATCTCTCCCATACTATTCTTTTTTCTTGCCATTTTTAGAACAAGAGAAAATTTAAAGAAGGAAAATGAAGATGTATAAGATAATTGGTATGTATGTTTGTGAAAGTTGAAAATTTTAGGAGTGAATATAGTTTGGTTTGTACGGTCGAATTATAAATGTAAAGCTTTTGTGAATAGTGAGGAAGAATAATGGAAAGATGAGAAGATCGTATGCTAATAATGAAGGGGGTTGATGAGATATATAAAGCTGTGGGGTTGGGTGGTTGGTTTAGGGTAGGGGGGGGGGTTGTATAGGTAGTAGGGGGAATGGTAGAGAGACACGTGGAAGTATGATACGTGAGGTTTACGAAGAAGCCGAAAGATACTTTTTACATGTACATTGTAGGCAACGGGAAACTAGATGAACCGGTAAACAAACCACTAAAGTCCATATACTGAGGAAAAAAAATATCTTTAAACTATATAAAAGAAGAATTTTTTTTTGTGCATATATATCATATACAAAAAATATATATTGTTGGCTATTATTTTTGTGAGCGAATAAAAATATATATTTCTCGTAAAAATTATTCAAAAGGTAATTGCATGTATTATTTAGCACTGATTGATAAACTAAAAAGCTAGTAAATAACCAATCATTATAAGTTTATTTTCACTGATAATGTGAAAAAATTACTCCCTCTATTTCTATTTATGTGAATCATTTGACTGAATATGGAGTTTAAGAAAAAAAGAAGACTTTTAAAGTCGTAGTGTAAAATGAGGCACATATATTTTGTGTGGCTATAAATTATTACATAAAAGTAAATTGTTTCCAATAGAGAAAGAGATCATTCTTTTTGGTACGGACTAAAAAGAAAATAAGTTCACATAAATTGAATCGGAGAGACTACTAAGTTATCCGTGTATATAACATAAATTTGTAAAGAATCTCAATCAGGTGGTTTTTTGCCTCTTTGATGGTTTAGTTTAAACGAGATGGGGTTACTTGTTAAGGAAACGTTGAATTCTAGAAGAGCAACGTGGAGGATAAGGGTTTAAACGTTGAATTTTAAAAGTAAAACGACCAAGTTATTTTCGGCATGTTTTTTCTATATGGGGGAAATGGGAATGCAGGTATTTGACTTTGACATTGTCAAAAGAATTGTGGCCTAATATTAGGTTATGTGTATTAATTTGTTTAGTTCTCATTTATTAAGATGAAGTTAATAGCCGTTTAGTTATGCATAATTAAAGACTGTGATCTGTATCTAAACTCAAATGGACATATCTAGCTATTTTTATTTTATATGAGAATATTTGATTCAAAAATAATTTAAAATTTGAAAGTAATTTATAATTATGTACTATATTAATGACAGTGAATTAAAACGTTGAAGTAATAGGAGAGTTTGATGACTTTGAATTCATGAAAGTTGTACGGAAATAAGATAATCTCAAACTTTTTGAAATGCCTCACATGAAAACAAGTAATATAGTTAATTGGAGCAGAAGAAATATATTCTATTGACTACAATATTGTTGAACTCGCGTTTGTGTCGTTACCAATACTTTTGTCGTATTTAAAATATCCTAGTTGCCAGGCCGCCTCTAAAGAAAGGATTTACGATTTGTAAAGCTTTAATATTGCTAGTGTGAAAATCTTAAGATGCATGAAATATATAATTGTTAAGCAAAACGTGGGCACTGTCAAGGTAAGGCAATAAAAATTGAACCGGTACAGGTCCAGGAACTTGCATCTATTGCGCAATTAATTGTTTTAATTGTTCTTAATCTTTCTTTTTTTCATATAGTTTACTTTACGTTCTAAATATATGTACACGCTTGCTTGACAATAGACTGCTAATTAAACTGAAGCACAGAGAGAAGTGCTTGTTTGTAATTTGTAAACGTGTTTTCCATAATAGTCTTAGAAAACGGTTGGTCGTGCGGAATTTGACAAAAGTGAAATTTTGTTTACAATTTGTTCCTTAAAGTTTCTTCAAGAAGCCTTTTTAGGCAACTGTTCTAAAATAACCTTTTTTCACCCAAAAACTTGAAAAAAACTCTATTTTTTCTTTAAAAAAAAGCTTTAGGGGTGGGGTGGGGGGGTAGGGTGGGTGGGGTGGGTGGGGGGGGTGTAGGAATAGCCCTAACATGTACAAATCAACAAGTAAAAGTACGAAATGTGAAATCATCTAGTTTTTACATATGGTATACGCTGGTCCAAGGCTTTAGTAAGAGTGTTGTGCATGCTGTGAGGATTAGGCAAATATCATGGTTTCGAACATTAGTGTAGACAAAACCCTGGTATTCAAGTAGATAGAGGAAGAGGGACGGGCCTATTATGCATCGGGTTTCGAACTGTTCGTCCGAAAAATATAGAAATATGTCAATTCTTTTGGACGGACGTAAAAGGAATTTGTTTAAAAACAAATTGTATCAACGGGCAGATATTCAAAGTGAAATACCTCCTATGTGATAAAAGTGTTTCGTAAAATATTAACGTAAAGTTCACGTTAAATTTTTATCAATAAGGAATTTCACATGCACCTAAAAAATGAGCACAAAAATTGGATGCAAGAAACGTACAGTTCCCGAGTTACAGCAGCAAACGGGAAAAGTTTCCAACTTTGAAATGGAAGGGAACGGCGCTCAGTTCCCATAACTGTTAGATGACCACTCGGAATAGCCCACCTACATAGGTGAATGAAACGAATTGTTGAAATGGCCTGGGCCGTGTCTGCCGAATGAAAACGAACCATCAAATTCAAGCCGCCACGTAAAGTGCTCCTATCACACTGATCATACTCATCTTGCCACGTAGCGTACAGCCCACGGCCCCGATTTGTTTCATTATGTCAGCATTACGCATATATTGGGTTTTGTAGTTCACCAGGTGTCGTTAGAAAGCACGAAGACATCCAATGAGGAGGGCTTCAAATGATAAATGAGGCGGATCCGTAATTTAAATTTAATTGTTTAATTTTTTAAATTTTTATCATTGAACTCATTATACTATTAAAATTGTTCAAGTCTAATACATATTGCGATTTAGTAAGTGTTCGCATATATTTTTGTATTTGTGTGCATTACAAGTTCGTTGAACCCGTACAAAAAGGCTATGTCCCAGCCGGAGACACTTTCCCTCGTTTTTTGTATGTTAAACTATACCTTTTGGAGTATAGAAAAAGGAAGTTTACATATAGTTTTGTATTAAGATGAATTAATTGTACCTTTTGGCTTCTTGTATTTGACTTGATTTTCTTAATGAAAAAGTGTCGAACTTTTTAAATGTTAGGTTGAATGTTTATGTATAATTCCTTAACAAATAAATAGAGTTCTGTATAGGGTTAAATTTGACCGTCAACGTCTCTACGCCAATGGGTACACCCAGTGAGTATACGTCAGCTAACGTAAGGGTACGACTTGGACGTGGGGACAAAAGCGACATCGTTTAAGACTCAGTGTCTTCACTAGGAAAACGTTACCTATTTTTGTATCTTTTTGATTATTTCGAGGAAGGTCTCCTACTATATAAGGGAGACCTTCACATTGTAAAAAGGGAATTCGAGAACAATACAACTCTCTCATTTTCTCCTACTCTCTCTCTATCTCTATCTCTAACGAATACTTTCTCTTGAGTTCATATTATCATTTTACACTATTAGATCTACAACAACAACTTCATTTTTCATCTCTAGGTCTATTATATTTGATTACGATTTACCCTTTTCCTACTTTTGATTGTTTTTAAGCTTGCAAAGTATATCGATAACTTTTGAGACAAACAAGTTCCATCGTTGAAATATTTGTTATTAATTAGATGTTGTTTGGCTGGAAGGAACTCTTGAATATAGTAACGAAACATGAACAAAAACATGATGAAATAAGCAGCGTTAAGAACAAAAACAGTTAGAAAGGGCGTTTGCTTTCACTTTCGAAGGTTTGGTGAAGTGATGCAAAGTTCAAACCTTTAGTTGAAATTAGGTTCATTATTTCATGCAAGTAGTTGTCTCTTTAATTGCTGATATACAACGTGGGAGCTTATGAAACAAGCCCCTACTGATGAGTTTCATTCGATCCTATATTGTGAATCATACATATATATTTGAATGCCTTAATTAAAACAAATGATTATTGCAACTTAATCAGACTTATATTAGCTAAGCCAATCAAACTATATGCGCAAGAACTCATGATATGTTGATATCATCCCATTAATTGGTTTGCTATCTAATTTTATGAACAATCAATATGCATTATCTGTTCACAAAATAAGGATCATGTAAGCAATATGTCACTAGTCATCACTTAATTAATAAGTATTAAGTTGTTATCATATCCTGGAAAACTATTGACTTTGAGATCCTGCAGATTTATAAAGAGCGGACCACGTATCAGCACTTTTCGATCAGTTAATACTTTAATTTATATTTGATACGCATCGTGAAAAAACTAATAGGAGTTTTGTCTTAAGCTTCCAATTGTCACAATATTATGCATATTTTTATTAGAGCGGTGATCTTAGTTTGAAAAAACATTGGCATGATTGTCAGCGCAGATAAAAGATAACCTGTTATAAATAGAATTGTATTTATGGTGAATATCTATATTTAGAGAGGTTCTAGGGTTCATTGCTTGGTGGCTAAGTCACCTTCTCCCTATAAATAGAGAGTTCTATTCTATTGTAATTCATCCTAAATATCAATAAGAATTCTCTCTCCCTACTTTTCTCTGCAATACTACTCTTCTTCTTTTATTATTTTATAACACGTTATCAGCACGAGACTCTAACCAAGTAAGTAGAAGCTTTGGGATTGAGCATAATGATTGTCAATTGTTCCATGAACTTCCTTCATGATTAAATTCTGGATTTAAGGTAAGTATCTTACTTTATTTTTCTCTTTTAAATTCTTGAAATTCTATAATTTGATTTTATATACAAGCAAAGACAACAAAGTTTGATTATAACTCTAATGGAGTTTGAAAGAAATTATAACCACCCAAAGTGGTAAAATTTCTATGTCTTTCCATGATCAAATTCATGTATGATTATGGGCACAAAAAGTAGAAACCCGTTCCATTGAATTTGCTCCATTCTCATTCCCTTAAGAGAATGTGATAGCAGTATGTGATAAGTCTGAAAGAAGACAAATTATCACTATGAATATATCAATGGATGTGGACGTGGCAATAGACGAAATTATAATCGCCATCATTGTGATAA